TCAGACTGACGGGCAGTCCGAGCATACCATTCAGATCCTTAAGGATATGCTTCGAGGCTATGTCCTTGATTTTAAGGGGTAGTGGGAGAGGCACCTGCCCTTGGTAGAGTTTGCCTATAACAATAGTTTCCAATCGAGTATTGGCGTGGCACTATTTGAGGCCTTGTATGGGAGACCATGTAGATCTCCGGTGTATTGGGCTGAGATGGGTGATGCACTTTTGTTTAGCGCAGAGTTAGTTCGGGAAACGACGGAGAAGGTGGCACTTATTCATAAGAGGTTAGTTACGGCCCAGAGTCGCCAAGAGCTACGCAGAATGTAGGAGGAGACCCTTGTCTTTTGAGGTGGGAGATCATGTGTTCCTGAAAATATCACCTAGGTAGGGTTTGATGAGATTTGGGAAGAGTGGGAAGTTATCCCCTCGGTTCATTGAGCCTTTTGAGATCCTTGAGCGGGTCAAAGAGGTTGCTTATCGATTGGCGTTGCCACCATAACTTTCCGGAGTGCATGGCGTGTTTCATATTAGTATGCTTTGGAAGTATGAGCCGAATCCATCACATGTGTTGTATTGGACCGATTTGGAGGTAGATGAGCATGCCTCGTATGAGGAGAGACCGGTGAGAGACTTGGATAGAAGGGACCAAGTCTTGCGAGGCAAGACAATTCCTTTAGTTAAAGTTTTGTGAAAACATCACAGAGTTAAGGAAGCGACTTCGGAACGTGAATTGGAAGCCCAAGAGAAATATCCGGACTTATTTGTTGATGTTTAAGTTTGTATTGAGATTTTGATTATGACGATAAAAAGTATGAACATTGTATATGTTTTAAATTATGAGGACATTATATATGTTATGAGCAAATGGCCTTTGATAAGGCCGCGTGGAGAAGAAGAATTCATGTAACCGACCCCATTTAATGGGACTTAAGGCTTTGTTTTGTTTGGTTTGGTTTGGTATATATGTTATGAGCATTTTGGAAACATGGATTCTATATAAACATTGCATATGTTTTGAGAATATGAAATATTGAGTGTTGTATCACTTTTGGAGGCATTGTACGTGCTAGATAAATTTTGAAAATGTGGAATTGGTTTAACATTGTAAATGTTTTGGGAATTTGTAAATTTGATTTTAATGTGGGACTTGTGTATCGAGTCAATGAGAATGGATGACCGAAGGATAGGTCATAGTATTGAACTTGTAAGAATAACATTGTTGGGAATGGTTTAACTATGTTTGCAAACTTGATTTGTAATTTCAAGGACGAAATTCTTTAAGGGGGGGAGATTATAACAATTCCAGTTTTGACCCATTATCTATTGTATTCCGGACTCGGATTGGTATAGTTTAGAATGGTTGTTCACATCTTGTTCCTCTTGCTTCCCATTATTTTGGTTATCGGGTTGTAATTGTGCATTTGGAACAAGTTAGTTGCTTGTATTTCAAAACCTGTGTTGCCCAGATTTTGGCCTTTCCGCTCGAGTGGGCATTTTTGCACTCGAGCGGGAATTGTCGACTCTCAGTATTTTTGCAGAGTGCATTGGACGCTCGAGCATCCAGTTCCACACTCAAGCGGGGACCTTTGTTTGCAAAACTTCTAAAAATGTGTATTCTATGCTCGAGCACCAACTTTCACGCTCGAGCGGAACCTCGTGTCTGACGCTCGAGCGGACTGCACATATAATGGTCCGAGAAGATGATATTTTGAGTCACTTTTTTCACATCTCTCTCTCTCTCTAAAACTTTCCAAAAAGCTTGTTCTTGAGCCTCTCTCTAGAATTAACCTTCTCTCTAAGATTTCATCTAGATCTGTTGGGATTTCCACCCTAGTACCTTTGAGAAAAAGGTAGAACTCTTCCAGATCTTCATTTTTATCCGAATAGAAGTGGGTTTCGTTGTTCTTGGAGTCTCACTCTTGCTTGGCTCAACTTCTCCCTTTGAGGTAGGGATTCTTTCTACACCTTCATATGATATTTAGCTTAGTTATTGTCTCTTGTGTAACAATGGTGTAATTTGGGGATGCTTTAAACAAACCTAGGGTTTGAGCACAAGAATGGAAAGAGGGGTTTTGGGTGTAGATGAAATAAATGCTTGTGGGGTTGAAAATGATATTGTGTTATGTTTAATTTGATGATTTTGGCACTTGGCTAATATTTGGGAAAAAATGGGAAATTGCCCTAATTTGATCAAATTATTATTTGGCACAAGTAATTGGAATTTGTATTGGAAATATGAAATTGAGGGGGTATTGATATGAATGGTGGGATTGGTTAAGTATTAACTCATTCTTTGGAAGTTTTGAATAAACTATCTATTTGAGATTGAATATCTGTCTAGAGATAACTGTGTTGGACTATCGGTGGAGGATAGCATTAATTGTTGTAGAAATTGCATGTGGATTAGGCGAATTGAAATTAATCTTTGATAGTTGTCATTGAATATGACTGTGTTTATATACATTGTACATGTATGTTCGTTTGGGAGCGGAAATGAGATGTGCTTCATATTTGATTATGTGTTTTTAATACATTGTATATGTATGAATAATTGTTTGGGAGGAGAAAGGAGTTGGACTCCATTATAATTAAGTCGGCCGGAGTGTCCTGGGTGAAAGTCCTGAAATTATACATGGATGCCTAGCCCGCGGACGAAATATCCATAAAATGGCAATTGTAGTACTTGTATAGTCTACGTTTACATGGGTCCCATTTGACAGCTGCCTGCGGACGAAATACCCGTGAAATGGAAGTTTTGAAGTGTTTATTCATATGTGTTAGATGATTTGGAAATAATTGAGTTGTAGTCTCAGTTCGATTGTTGTGAAGTAATGAAATTGACTCATGAATTGAGAAAGATAAGTAATTGAAATGTGGATTGAAAGTACTGGAGTAAGACTTCAAAATTGATACCTTATGAAAATATATAAAATTGTAAAGATTTTTATCACAAGCATTATCTATGCACTTGTACTTATACATTTGCTAAATTTCATATACTGTGTTAGACGATTTCTACTAAGCTATGACTCACCCTATTTGGGAATAACATTTTTAGGCAATGATGGCATGCCTCCACCAAGGTAGTAGCTGGAGGAACTTTTGGAAACAAGAGCTTCATTACCTTTGATTATTTCTTTTGTAAAGCCATGGGCTTAATATGTATTGAGCGAAGCTCACTTTTGTTGTAACCAAGTTAAGGCTTGGAAAGATGTAAGCCCTAAGGGCATCTCTTTTGTTGAACTCTTTGTATCATTAACTTGTATGTAATGCAAGGACTATCTACCCTGATTCATGCAGTTCTTTACATATGGTTGGGTTGTATTTACTATATTATTTTTGGGGCGTTACAACAATTGTTTTCGACTTTGATGGAGTTCAAATAAGTTGTAATAATATCATCTATTTGGCTATTCATAAAAATATGGGAACTTACATGTAGGTCTTAATAAATAATTTTATTGTTCAATAGGTCTTATGATAAATAATGATATTTTCATTAAACACTATTAAAAAAATGTTACTAATTCTTAATTTCCAGCGACAGTTTGAAAATTTTGTCACAAAAAATGTCATTAATTATAAGTTTTACAACAAAAAAAATCACTAATTTACAACTTTCAATAACCATTTGAAAATTTTGTCACGGAAAAACGTCACTAATTGTAAATTTTAACGATAATTTATGAAAATCGTGACAAAAAAAAAATCACTTATTGTCAATTTTTAGCAACACTTGTAAGAAATCATCAAAAAAAATTTTATTTTTAGCGATGATTTTACTAGAACTTATGTTTCAATAAAAACTTTATAGGAATTAAATTCAAATATTAGAACTCATTGGTTGTTTTCCTTAAAAAGGGACCACAATATAGGTTTTTTTTTTTCAATAAATCATTCAATTTTTATTTTTTATTAATTTATAAACGCAATAAGTTGAATGGATTAAGATTATTTGATTGACTTAACTTTTTATATAGATGATATACATAAATGGGACAAGGTAATAAGCCCAGTGATCCATGTAGTTATTTTTTAGAATGAGAAGAAAGATATACATTAATAATTTTACAAAATGAATGGTACAACACCCTCCAATCCGAAGTCCCGCCCCTATTTAGTTTATTTGAAACACTTAAGCTACAAATTTCATATAGTTTATTTGGGCCAAATGTGCTGAAATGGCCAAATAATCTATAATATAAAATCACAATCAAAAACTACTCGTCTACTTTTTTAATCAAATAAGTTAATTTACAAGTGCTATCAAACGGGACATTCCTTAATGAAGGAATTTGTCCAAAATCTGTAGGGATCCATGGCAAAGCAATGAATTTTGGTCTTCACCACATTTTTAATCACCAATAATACTAAGAATACTAATTAATTTATCAAGTAACACATTAACTAAATACAAGACATACATGTGAATTTTATCACTTAATATAAATCTTACCTAACATTATTATTTCAATCAATCCACCAAATTTTTACACAATTCTAAATATATTTCATTTGATTCCTAGTGGTGCCACCACGTGCCTATCCGTTTGTTCCTAAAAAAATAAAAATAAAAATAAAAATAAAATTAATTAAATTAAAATTGAATGGGTAAGCATACTCACCGCAGGAAAATTAGCTTTTACCGGTGTTTTAAAAACGTCGCTAAAGTTATCAAAAACGTCGGGAAAACATATACCGGTGTTTTAAAATTATGTCAAAGATGCGGTCGTCGCTATAACTTAGCAACGTTTTATAAACACCGTACAAGATCTTTTGCGGCGTTTATTTAAACGCCAGCATAAAATTTGCCCACAAATTACGCCATATACTAACTTACACTGGCGTTTTTATTGAAATGTTGCTAAAAGCTTTTTTTCCCAAAATAAAAAACGTATTTGAACCTAATCAGAATTTTTTCCAAATATGAATTCCTTGAAAAAAAACAAAACAACAACAAATGCAAAATTCAAATTATACAATTCACAATAACTCAAACATTTGGTCACCTTTAACATTCAAAATAAATTGGAACCAATTAAGCCATAAATATTTTTAGAAAAATACAAATTTGACCAATGGAAATTTATGACATAACAAAAAATTAAAATTATTTACAGACATTAGCAGATCATGACACACTACTACTACTTCATGACATTAAGTTCACTCTGCCATGGCTGCTAAGGTGGTACTCTAAATGCCTGCACTTAAGACAAAATAAGACATCTATGAGAATTGGACACGTTGTTTGGATATAATGCAAAGTGAAAGTGAATGAGGATTGATGGGAATATCTATATCCATCTACTAATAGCAAATATATACTTACAGCTTTAATCTGGTTATTTTTCACCCAATCCACAAACACATTAGAACCATCCTCTTCCATTGAACCCAGATATCCATCGTAGCAATCTTTTCGCCATATCATTACATTTGGTTCCTTCTCCAACCATTTCAGAGCTACACGTGAGAGAGAGAGAGAGAGAGAGACTGAGAATTGAATTATAGAATGAATAGATCAAAAAAAACAGAGAAAACAGAGTGCACTTATCCCAGGAACCAAATTAGATTCATCAGTGCCAATGATGCAATGAGGATAGGGATGTTCGAGTTTTCCAGGATAGTGGGAATCAAGAAATGCAAGAACTGGCCATTTCTTGTTGCAAAACACTTTTGCCAGTCTTGCCGATTCATCGATCATTTTATTGATCTGACTGTTGGGCTTTGTGGGTGCCTGAAAAAAACACTCAACCAAACACAAACTCAACCATCATAACATAACAACTCAATTTCAGACCACAAAGAGAACCAAACAATCTGTGTCGTGCTAAAAACTCATTTGAGATTAGCTGGTTTTGTGAACAAGCTAAACTTGAATAGATTTTAAAGTCGCCAAGCTTTTTAAGCCAAGTTTAAACAATCTGCTGTATAAGTGGGTTAGCAGATGAGGACAATCTAATCCATATTAATTTGAAGTAAAGAAAAATCTATCCATTACAAAATAATTGAAACTGGGTAATAATGAAAAGATAAAGAGAGAGGAGAGGAGAGAGACCAGATTTCCAGCTCCAATGGTACAGAAGCCATTGATGATGTCGACGAGAACTAAACCAATCTTGACATCTTTGGATAAAACTACTGATTCTTCCTCAAATGGAATTTCATTCTTCAAAAGATCTACTGTCTTCAATACCATCTTTCAAAACACAAAAAAGAGAACCACAAAACAATTCACAAAGCAATTTAATAATTCAACTGTCTTCAATACCATCTTCCAACTGTTGTATCAATAACAAAAGGTGAACATCATATGAGAAAACAGGTCCAAAAATCTTCCCTGAGATTTTGGGGTATGTCAACTGCATGTAGATTCCCAACTCCCAATTGACCTTTCCATGGCAATTTTAAAACATTCATCATCAAAACATGATATTGTGTTGTTGAGAATTGCATTTTTCAAATGTATTTATAAATTATAGCTAATCTAATTCATAGGCAACTCTTTTACTAATTGGGGCAACAAAAATTTGTAGTTTTAACAAAAACTTGGAGTTTACTCTTTGGTTGTTGTAATCTAACATCAACTGTTACCTTTCTTTTCACTTTGCTACCTCATATGTTTTTCTTTAGGCATTCCTTTCTCTCTACTTGATAGATTCCCACTCCTTCTCCCTATTCTTTTCTTTTTAATGTACAAATACATCTCTAGCTAAAAATAAAGCATATAAAAAGGAGAACTATACCGGTCCACCAGAACAAGGCTAGAATATATATAGGGGTCTAGAAAATGCTGAGAATCATGTAAATTATATCAAGCATTAGATCTTACTAGTTAATAATTCATGCTATTCCAAATAAGCCTCAACTTCCCATATCCTCTGACTATGGATCTGATCACATTATTACAAAGACAACCATTAAGCAGAAAATAACACACAAGTGTTGTAGTTTCATTTCAATTGAAGTATAATTGTGAAGTCCTTGTCTTGCATAAATTTGACTACGATGCTGTAATGAATACATGACAAATCCAACTTAATATAAACAAAACTGAACAGCACATTATTCATCTTAATGTCAAAGGATGTATGTGTTGCAGATTAATCACTACAATAAATTAAAAAAAAAATTACAAAATCTCAATAAAGCATATAATCTTAATGTCACTAACACTAGAGCATAACCTCAAACCAGCAAAGCAACAAGAAGAAAAAGCCTACTCAACACAGTTTTCTGCAAATTTGTAAGCAGTAGAACCATATCAACAATACAAGGACCAATTAACACAGCTTACATGGTCTGTGTTGTATAATTGGCAGCATGACCCACAAAAATAAATGTTACAAATGGCCTGTATTAATCACTATATCATCAATTTTCTAGAAGGTATAATCCAGATCATTTTGCTTTATCCATCCCAAATGAGTGTTATGTTTGAAAAAGCATAAAGCTTATGAAAGAAACAATAAATCCAAGCACTGTCACTGCATCTCTTTGGCATAAACTCTTCCAAAATTGCTTGCTTTTATAACATATGTAATGTAACATGTTTTCCGTAACTGGTAACACTGGGAAGCAAAAGAACATTGCTTTGAATTTTCCATTGGGGCATGTATTCAATTTGGGACCAATAAAAATAAAAGCAAGACACTTATTTCAAGATGGAGGGAGTATATTATATAAATTCCATTCACACCATTCATCCAAGGCAACAGCTCCCTTGGAACTAGCAGATTGACATAGACATGCAATAAAGAAAAACATAATTTTTATTGAGACTTTGGAGACACCAAAACAGTACATAATGTTTTTCTTCAGACTTTGGAGATCTTTCTACCAACTAGACAAGAAAAACAAACAAGACATGCAAACAACTGAATTAAGTAACTGCAACTGCAAAAAAGAATGTAACCTTCACAATAGAGTGAGAAAGAACGAAAGCCATCAAAAGTTTACGACCCTGTGAAACATTATTTTCAGTGTCATCCTGAACCTCAGATTTGGTGCAAGGAGAAAACACACTCTCATAGAACGATGTTGGGATGCAAATATTTGATATAACGCCTGAAGTAGCAGTGAGAAGGAGAGATATGAAGCCTAGAAGCATCAATTCTGAAAACAGAAATCCAAGAAATAACAGCTTCAAGATGAGAATCCCAAAAAATACACATAAGAAAAGTTGATAAATTTTGTAAGGATTGACACAGAAATTTATACCAAATACCTTCTTTCATTTTCTCTACAGCTTCGAACAAAGGTTTTTGATTTGTTTTCCGTAACCACTAGAATGAAAGAAAAAATATAAGCTCGTCAGAACAAGCCCAAAGCAATTCATACTGATATTTTATTGTTACCGCAGTGGAACAAATTCAACTAACTTTGCAATGAAAATATGCAGAAAAGCTTAGGTCGATATCACAAATTGTATCAATTGAAACATAATAGCCCAATTTCCAACAGAAATCATAATAAATGGCAAAAAATCAATAGTGAATCTAGACTTACATTGCTTAGGTGGTGAATTGATCGCTCCACAAGCAAAGAAACAACAGCAACAAAGATTGTCATTACAGTAGCAACAGACCATGTTGGCGTCAACGCCAAAGATCGCATTTCTGTTCTATTTTGTTCCATTACTTTCTAATGAAATTTCTTTTGTTGCCAATCAAAAAAACAAAAAACAAAAAATTACCAACTAAAACAGACACCATAAGCATAAATAGCCCCAGAATACTATTACTGAATCAAATTCTATCACAATCAAAGAAACTGAAAAAAAAAAGAGTGTCAGTAACAGTGATGCAGCACAGCTAAGTGGGTTTGTGCCAAACTAGGACGGAGTGAACTAACTAATTTCTTCAATCAAGAAGAATTGCAACAAAATCCCTCTAAAATTGACAAATAAAAAGGAAACCCAATGACATATTGTTATGTATATTTGAATTTTAATCAAATAAAAAGGAAACCCAATGACATATTTGAATTTAAATTTAATTGAGCAGAAGATATTGACCCTATTTAAGAGAAATGGAGACAGAGGGAAATAGAAAATAAATCAAATCTTGTCGAGCCAATATGCCTACATCCCAATTCCTGCATCCAACCCAACCAAACAAATTTTTTATATTATCAATATCCAGAGGAAGAAAATAGTTAAAGATATGAATCAAGAAAATACCTTTCTTTTCTTGGCTCTTTGCACAAGTAGTCAATAACAAAACCACCCATGTGTAGTAGCTTGAAAAAGAAGGAAACTCAGAGAACATACCAAGATGCAAGTTTATCAATTTACATGGGAACTACAACGAAATGATTATTAGGTGAGTTAGAAAGCAAGAAATGCCAAAATGAGATTCCAAAAAAAAAGGCAAAATAATGGACTAGAGAGAGACAAAGCAGATCTGATATTGCCATGTTAGCAAATCACAGAGAGAGAGAGAGAGCAGATCTACATCTCTTCATCAGCTTCTACTCACTGTTTCCAACAATCCACATCCAACACCACCTGCTTGTCTCGTACCTGATCAGAGACACTAACACCGGACTCGAAACCCTAGATAAATCAATTCACCATTGCTGCTGCTCAATCTGATGAAAGAGAAGAGTTTTCAACACAAGGACTAGAAAGAGTAAAGGAACAAAAACGAAAGGAGAGAACACAAAACAAAAGCAAAAAAAAAAAGCTAGAAATCAACTAAATTGAGAGAAAACAATTCCAAATCGTTAGTTTTAGCCATGAAATTTTATAGATCTTGTGTGAATGTAGCTAATCTATATCAGAAAACCCTAATCTTGAGCCCTAGATCGATTTATATCATAGGGATTCGAACAATCAGGAAGATATACGCTCAAATCACGAGTAGAACAAGATTTTTCAGATCAAACAACTGAAGAATTGATGGAGATCGAAGATCTGATGCCTCGAAGATCCAACGCCTCGATTTCTCCCTCTTCCTAAAGTCACACCTCTGTTCAATCAGAATAGAAGAACGTCATAGCCTTGTTCAGCCACTGTTTAAAAGAAATAATCAGTGCACAAAACGAGATGGTTTAGTTTAATTTTTTTGAAATTTGAAAAATCTGAACAGATTTCACAACGTTTTTGAAAAACATCATAAAAAAAAACGTCACTGTATATCCTTTTTCTTGTAGTGACTGCATAAGAAAGTGAGATTAGGGTTTTAACATCTGTTGTCATGATTGCTAATGACAATTATTGCCTTTAACAGATACATTGTATATTTATCTTCTTTTTTTTTTGTTTGGTCAACATATTTATCTTTAATTCTAAGGATGGGCTTAGACTTCAACCAACATTAAAAGCACCACTGAGCCCAAAATAACAAAAAAAACATTGAAGGACCACCATCTTCAGTGGCCACAAACGAACTAAGCTTGCACTTGACCAACCCTATAGGCCTTGATTGGAATTTTTTTTCTCACTAGTTTTTAAATAAAGTTGTTAGTTTTTTATGGTCATTTTGTAAAGAATTTACTTGGGTTTGTTTAGTAATAAGACTACAGATACAAAACTGATCATATAAAATAATTTTGGTCATACATATTAAGCAGTAAAACTTATCAAAAATATATAGTTTCACTCAAATTACTCTACTTATATTTTATGGGGTTGGTTATGCATATGTAGAGTTGTTGAAAAACTTACCCAACTTCATTTGGAATCAACTTTTTTTTAATTTAATTTAAACTTGGTTTTAGTTTTGGCATTTGTACAGGATATAAGAAGATTTATCAGCCCAACTTATATTGGAGAGGACTTTGGAGTAGCCCAACTTATTTTATCACCGTTTGGATTAAATCATACTGCAATGTAATACATTCTATTATTTGATACACACTCATAATACATTCTTTTGTGATTTATTTATTTTCAAAAAGTGTAATATATTAGTTTAGGACAACCAAAGATAAATTTCATATCTTCAAATTTGGATAACTTGAGCTTAACTTGAATTCTTTGAATTAAACTCAAGCTATGGCCTGGACAAGAAGTTTGTTAGACTCGAGCTTGGATAGATCTCTCTACACTTCGGACTGAGCCTCTCAACTCAATCGAACTTGTCCAAGTTGCAGTACTATTTAAAAAGAGACTCTAAAATCCTTTTCCCCCTTCCCCTCCCACAAAAAAAAAAAATAGATAATAAGACAAAAAAAATTATAAAGTAGAATTTTAAGCCAAACCAGGGAGGAGATTTGAGGTTACAAATGGTGAAGATGGTTATTATGGCTAACATACAACATTTTTCAAAAACAAAATAGGCTTTTTTAGCATATTGGATATTCCAAATTATGCTTCAATGTAAACTATGCATTAAAAAAAGATGAAACAAATAAACAAAAGGATATTTTCACATGCCTTCTTATTTATGTTTATTTTGATGTTATTATTTATTTATTTGATGTTGGTTTGATATTGTATTTATATGAAGATGATGGATTGATTTTAATTATTTTGGTTAGTTGTGTATGCAAGGTTTAGGGTTTTTTTATGTGTTTATTTTATGGATGTAATCATACTCATGGATATATAAAATTAAAATAAATTATGAACCCATAGATATATTCCGAATACTCCACCATGATTCCATGAATTGCTGTTTTATTTGAGTACTAGTGAGAAAGGGTGTATAAAAAAAAGTGTGGATTATGAAATTTATTTGAATGCCTTAGGCTCGACATTGTTATGTTTGTTCTTATGAGTAGATGAAGGATTGTGTATATATATATTGTTGTCTCGTTCTTAGGAGTAGATGAGTGATTTGATTTACGCGCATACATTTATGCTAACCGTCTGGGGAGTGTGGGTCAAATTCGGGACGATATCCCCATGCAAGTTTGGCTTCAGAGCAATGTTAGGTATACGGGAGGCACATAGGATATATGTGTAGGCTGAAAGTGAAAGGCCAAAGTGGTGGAGTTAAGGTACAAATAATTAAATATGAACTTATTGGTATAGTTTGAATTGTATTTGATTTGTGCATCTTGAAAAATAGTAACCAACCTCAATAAATTATGAAATTTGGGCAGAGGCATATATACGTAATTCTAGACAACTTTTGTGTTTTAACTTTTTACTAAAAAGATCGATTAGAACTTGTAATCGGATGATCTTGATTACAATAGTTTTTATTTATTTTAACAATCTAGATTTTAGATGTTGTTTTAACCCACAAAACGAGCTTATTTTTATTTATTTCACGGAAACTAAAGTAAAATATTATTCTAAACGTTTTTCGTGTTTTGAACTTTTTTGAAAAAAAAATCATAGTAAAGCAGTTTCTTTTCATTTTCAGTTCTAGATTTTTCGATCGAATTTCATCGAGGTTCTTTTATTAAGTTTTTATCTCAACCTGTTCAGTTTCTACTAAATTCGTTCGCGCATTCTTTTAGGAAATTTGATTATGTACAATGTTGATTTAAGTATGAAAGAGTGAGTTTTTATACTTCTTCAACAATTTACTTATAATTAAATTATACTAAATTAATTTTTTTACAGAATAATGAGTCTTACTAACTTTTTATGTAAGGCTGAACCACCATATTTTTATGTTTATTTTGTTTATTTTATACTCAATTTATATTTAATTGTGTACGGGCAAGAAACTAAATGCCACCGTATCTCGAGAAACTATCCCTTCGTCTCGATGCGGATGGAAATACTTGTCTTGTCCCGTAACAAGAATTAAATGTACTTTTTTTGTGTCTGGTGGATATGTAGGTGTCAAATCTTGTACTCATACCAATATACTTGTATATTGACCCATTTTGTTTCTTGGTATCTCAGGTGCATTCTGTTTGACCACAGCAGAGTTTCTTTTGCAGGATAAGTTGGGGCTACAGTGGTAACGCGAAATAACTATAGTTGTTGGACATGTCTCTTGGACTTCTTTTGTTTTCTTGAGCTTAGGGTTGATATTAATTTATGTATTTATTTATTTTTTATGACCTTAGTATTTTGATAATTTGGCTTTGTGGGTTATTTTTCAACTTTATATTATTTAAGTTGTTTTGACTAGTTGTTGCTATTTTAATGTCGAAGGTATTGGATAGTTATGAATTTATGATGGATAATTTGGTTGGCATTTGTTAATTTTTTTTATCCCTTGTATTATTTATTTTTTTTTTTTTTGAGTATTGAAATTTACTTAAACCTTATGGAGATGAGAACATTTAGGTTTTGTTTTACCTCTAGGATTTGGATGATGGAATATTCATTGGGGTTTAGTCCTGATTTGATATTTAATTGTTCAAATTTTGGGGTGTGAAATTTTGTTTTTAGTATTTTTTTAATATTTTAATTTTTTTACTATATAGATCCAATTAATCTATATATATTTTAAAAGTACAAATTTTGTGGAATTTGTTTTTTAAATTCATTTTTTTCTTCTAAAAATTCACTAAATATAAAAAATATATATATAAAAATTTAATACATTTTTATAATTTTTCATACTAGCACAAAACCTGTGCTATGCACAGAAGAGTCAAAATTTTATTTATAAATTAAAAATAATGAAACCTTTTAAAATATATATTGCACAATCTTGATTTATATTTCTTTTTGTTTTTAATATTTTATTAAAAATATTTAAATTTGAAAGAGAAAAACACATGTGATTTTAGTTGTGGTGTTAATCTAATATGGTGGAGTTAGTAGATTTTAATTATGATAGAGATTTGATGTGGTAATTTTTAGTAATTTTTTATACATCAAAATAAGGCCTTATCTTCTTGGGTATTCTAAATTTTGAACCTTATGCAATAAGAATTTTTTTTAGTGAACATTGAGTGACATGGTAAATAGTCTAATGATTATGCTTTTTTTTTATATATATTTATTACATTTTTTTATAATCAAATAGTTACGATTGAGATATAGTCAAATATCTAGCCCAATTGATCATGACCACATATGTCAATTAATTTATCTAATACTTAAGTGTTTTCACCATCTTAAAAAAATATAATGTTTTTATTTTTTATTTTTTTTATTTGTAGTAGAATAAGATAAGTATTTTTAAAGTTCAATTTTTTTTTTTTAAGTTTAATAAATAGTTATGATTAAGTTACAGTCAAAATGTTTAACCCAATTAGATTCTGCCCCATGCCATAGATGTTTTTAATTTAAATTTTTTAAATTTAGCCAATAGATATAATTCAATTGTAGCCATGTCTAATCCCATTAAATTATGTTACTTATATTAATAAGATAGTTGTTTTTAATTTTTAAATTTAGCAAACATGATTAAAGGATGATTCAATAGAAACCAAATTGATACTATTAGTTGATCATTTTTTTCCCATAAGGAGTCTCAAGCTTTTTTTCGAAAGGAAATAAGATTAAGAACAAAACATCTTAATATAAAACTAATCATTTAATAAAAGGAGTGTAACGCCCCAAAAGTAATACAATGGATTCAACCCACAATCGAAAATATAATAGAATCAGAATTCGTGTACAAAAACTAATACATGCGATATACATTCACAAACTATTCATTCCGAATCTACAGCATGTGTTGTATTGATTTAAGAACTGAAAACTAAACAAATAATCATATGCCCTATGGGCTTACATCTTCCCAAGTCATTATTTGATTACACAAAAATGAGCCTAGTTCAATACAATTTAAGCCCTTGGCTATACAAAAGAATATAACAAAATAAAGAAGCCTTTGCTCCCAAAAGTCCCTTTAAGCTATTGCCTTGGCGGAGCCATGCCACCAGCACCTGAAAATGGTTTTTCCCAAATAGGGTGAGCCAAAGCCCAGTGAGAACAATCTAATACAATATATGAAATTTAACAAAGATATAAGTGTACTGTGCATATACAATGCCGATGACAAAATATCCATATTTTATACAACCATAAAGCACCAAAGTTCATATTTCAATTCATTTTCCTTCAATTCATTTCAAGTTCATTTATTCTTCTTAATTCATGAGTCAATTTCATTATCTTTCAACAACCTAACTAAGACTACAACTCAGTGGTTTTCCAATTCAATACACTACCACACAAACACTTTAAATCTGTCATTTTACAGAAATTTCATCTACGGGATCGGCACCCATGTATACACACAATTTTCGGGACTTTCACCTTGGACACTCCGGCCAACTTAATTTCAATGGAGTCCATCACCTATCTCCTTCCAAACAATGGAGTACATCCCCTTTCTTCTCCCAAACATCATATATATAC